GAAGGCTTTTTAAATCAACGGATGCATACTGATAGCGTTATTAGGCCTCTTCGTCTCACTAGGTACCACACTAATACGTTTTTCTATATCAGTTATATAGGAAATTGAGCTCATGAATGAAGAGTATTAATTAAGTCAGATAGACGCGATGAAACTGTCGATTTCCCCTCAATTTTAAGCAAATAAAATATTTGTATGATCCAAGTTGGAGACCTCTTCCACCTTAAGGCTATCAATAATGTATTCCTACAAATACATATATGCATGGCAGAACGAAATCCATCATATGTGCATATTTAGACATGGAAACACACATTAAAAAATAAAGGCGCAAATATACCAGCTAATCGAAGGTATAAAGACCAAGATGGCGTGGCCTTTTGTGTGGTCGCAGTCTCTATACCAGCTAAGCCTATTTTTAAAGAGTATATCTAGAGTCACTTGGCCTTCCCGATTATGCAAATTAGTTAAAATAAACTATGGCTGATATGTGAAATGTGTCCAAGGTCCAACATATTTTCTTTGGGAAAAGATGGTGTTTATAGGCCTATATCAATACAAAATGAGTACTCGGAAAAAGAACATGAATTTAAAAAAAATTCCTTTTCGCTTATTTGTTGAACTCGTTTTATAAATTTGTTTCTTCGCCTTTTCACACCTAATGAAAATCAGCAAAGTGATGAAATGCTACGAGGTCCACCTTAGTGCAGTTTTACCTCAGATTTTCGTTAGGGTTTTTCCAAAGAACCAAGAAAGTGTGCCCTTTAATTAAGTGGAAGGAAAATTTGATCAAGTTTAATTCATTTTTTCATTGCAGCTGAAAGTATGCTCAAACCTCTTATTTTAGTTCATAACAGTTGAAAATTAGGTTTATAAGAAAATCGACATAGAAATAAGTTATAAGTACAACGGTAATATAATAATATGATAAGATGAGCAGGATTATAGGGCAACCTTTTAAAACGTACCTAGTCCTGCGTCCTCTACCGTAGTTGTCATGATTATTTCCAGCATTAGACCTTTTAACCACTTGACTGTGAAGTCATTTAAATACACTCAGTTTTGCTTCGCAAAAGGTATTCTTATCCACTGTGGAGAACATTTTCGACCTCGTCTGGGTCTTATCAGTACTCTCGTTTTAAGTCTCGTTAGAAAGTTTGGTGATACCTAGACTAGGTCGAAACTATTTTCGCTCCTGGATGTTAAAGCATCGTGCGAATTCTAAGACATATTCTTAATTCACAAGCAATACTGGGAAGTCTGATAATATTGGCAGTCTTATCAGCATATAGATTGAGAAGCAACATAAGAGACTTTCCCTCAAGTTTTGAATTAATATTAATGTGCATTATTGCTCTAGTAAACGAAATTATAAAGAAATTATTACTACTACTTTACGAGATTAGATACAGGTATGAAATAGGGTCAACTAAAAGGCAATGGTCGTGCCTTGGATGGTTCTATTTTATTTTTAATGACCAGTTATTCCCACAAGCACGATGACCAGCTATAAAGAGTATTTGACTCACAATAATACAACAAGCAAAATTGGAGATTCTCTTAGTTCAGGAAGCCTTCTTGTATCCCTAACTTTTGCTTACAAACTAGAATAGTAGATTCTGGTTGGAGAGTAAAGCAAGAATATTTTAAGAAAATTTGTTTCAAATGAATTTGGATTAAATTTTACAGTTGTCTAAGTAACTAGACGATAATAGTCCAATTCATCTTATGGGAATATATGGTATTAAGATATTTTGTAAGCGAAAAATTCCTCTTGGGGGCTCCTGGATTCAAGTTTTCCTAATAACCTACATTTTGCCAAATTTGAGCAATTGGCATGGGAGTCAATAGCTCTTTGATCACGTTACTTATACTCAAAATCAGTTGGCTTCGCGACTATCTTTAGATCTTTAATAATAGCCGTTGCTATACTAATTCTATCGTAAATTAATCAAGTGTATTGCAAACAACAAAAGCTCACCATAAATGTCATATGGGAGAGACCTACCTTGCCTTGAAAGTTTCGTTTCCCCTCTGATTCATTGACATAAATGGCTATGATAAAGTGACAATAATATACGCTACGCTACACAGGTTAGACTTTCGCCAGGGGTGCCAATGAGAACCAGGCGAGGTCGAAACGGCAGTACACACGGAATGAGAATACCTTGAGGTGGCCAAGACTTAGTTCTATTAAAGTACATCGTAAGGCCTTGGAATACCTTTCGTTTCATGTAAAGAGGAAAGTGGAAGGGATCCGTAGGTTGGTCTCATCGGAAGCTGAAGGGGAAATGCCTTGGAGCTGTGATTATAGATTTGTGCGAATAGGTCTTCGGCGCACCGTCCTGCGACCCCAATGTATCATTGCTAAGCTTTCGCCCGTCATTTGACGGACATCGCCAGAGCAGGACACATTGCTTTACCATAATCCATCAAGCACAATGACAACAAATATGGTCGGCATCAAACCGAAAGCTCAACAAGGATTTTTCGATGCCGCAGGGTGATGCGCAAAGGACATATTCGGACAAATTTACAATAACAGCTCTAAGGCAATTTTCCTACAGCTTCCGGTGAGACCAACTTACGAATCCCATCCACTAGCTTCTTCAAATGAATTGAAAAGTATTCCAACGTCAATCTATTAAGAGATTTTTCGAAACCAAGTTTTGCTACATACTTAGGTCGTGCAATTTATTCTTATCATTTTGAGAAAATTTAACTTTTAGCCCTTCATCACCATATGCGACAAGGTTACTACAGCTCTTATTGAAGATCTACTGAGAGTCTCAAAACATGCTATATATGAGTACGATATATATATTTTGCCTTTTATGAACATATTTCATATTAGTTTTAAGTCAGGTTTCTCAGAGATTTAATAATCTGACTAGGAAAACTATAGTAAAAAGCAGCTAACCTTTTAAAATAGTCTATTTATTTCAAACTTTTAGTATAGAGAAATGGCCTGATCTCGTTTTCCTAACTTACTCGTGCTATTAGGAAGAGATTATTAGACGAACCTTGTTCGAAGTCCTCTGCTATAGTAATTATGATAATTCTCAGCTCTGGACCGTAGACTTCGAAAGCTGGAAATTATAATGACTACTATAAAAGAGGACTTTGGACGATGTGCGTTCAGCATGACAACATGGCCGAGTTGCTAAAACGAGGTCAGACCACTTCTATGAATCACAAGGAGATTGCGACCAAAACAGAGACCACCCCATCTTTGTCTTCATATCCAAAACTAATTTTTACATGTAAATTGTGCCTTTAGAGGCCAACCAGGTCTTTAACGAAAATATGTTGTAAATAGTTTCAACAAGGAAATATGTATTTTTCACCATAAGCAATGACATTACTGCGAATATGGCAAGTAGGTTTCGAAACTATCAGTAAATCTTTCACAAGAACTAGGACAACCGTATGTTATTCAGCCCAAAAAAATTAATCAAGCTTGCATAGCCTTTACTTCAAAAAGGCTGACGCAGTGACAGCATGTCGAATTGAACAGGTTTTGAGTCTTGCTTTGATGGCAAGGGGAACAGAATGAGGTTGAAACTGCGGTACCCTCCGATAAAAAACTTTTTTTAGGGACATGGCAAAATGAAGTAAATTGATCTCGGGAAGGGTACAAAGTTAATTATGATAGACTAATATATCATGTATTGAATGACCTTAAACAAATCTCTAGTCAGTAAGCTATGATATTTTAATTCGTATATTTATAGAATCCTTAATTAAAGTTTTATCTCCAATTTTAGGTAATCTGTCATTATTAATGTCATAAAAAGACTTCCTATATGAATACATAGATAAATAAACAGACAAACAAATATATCATTGTTTGCTCTTGTTTTCACAACATGGCCATATTGGTAGGAAGACCTGGAGGAAAGCACATAGCATGATAATTTCCAGAGTCGGACCGTGGACGTGGTACATTCTCAGGCGTTCCGCCAGCATCGTCAGTGAGCATTCCCATTCTTAGCATCACACTACAACTCGTCAAAGGGACAAGTGAAGCCGATCCTTTGACCAATTGTCTGTTAAACAAACGTGGTATCTCTCCTTCCGCCGTTGGGCTGTTCACTATACTATATCTTCGTATCACGCCTTCACTATCACGATTTTTACTTGTCTATTTAAATGTGGTACGGTGTGCCCTTTTGAGTAGATTTCATTAGAAATCTCAACACCCCATGCTAGCTTTCTCACTTAACTCACCCCCCTTCACCCTCGTGCTGGGAATGTTAATCAGAGTCTGCCACATTATTCCACAATAATCTTTCCATACATCTTATCAAAGTCTCTCTCTTGGCCAATAGGATCCGTCTCCTAACTTCCTGGTTCAGGGATTTCACTCGAACCCTGCCACACTCTCTGTGCTACTCGAGGCGTTATCTCCCACACTCTGTCTCTGGTAAACTAACTTGAGGCTAGAGTACCCGAGTAATTTTGTTTTGATTAGGTTCAATGTAGCACCATAGCATTTATGGGTTGACCCACAAGAGACATGGGCATAGGAAGTCATAGACTTGGTATTATGGATATAAACAGGATGGACGAGGTAGAGACTAGAGCTAGTTGGTTAACGGTAGACCTGAAATGTATTCACCTTATTTCGTTTAAGGTAGTAGAATTTTCCGATGGCAGACTCTGATCAACATTCCCAGCATGAGAGTGAAGGGGGGTGAATGGGGTGAGAAAACTAGCGTGGGATGTTGAGAGTTCTCACCAAATCAACTCAAAAGGGTACATCCTACTACATTTAAATAAGCAAGTAAAACAAGCGAAGGCGTAATTCGAGTATATAGGATTGGTGAATGGCCCAAGTTCGGAAGGATTGGGCAGACAATAGATCAAAGGATCGGCTTCACTTGTCTCTATGACGAGTTATATTGTGGTGCTAAGACTGGCAATGCTCATCGACGATTTCGACTACGATGCCGGCCAAACGTCTGGGAATGTACCAGATACACGGTCTGACTCTGGAACTTATCATGTACACTATGGACTCCAGACTATGTGCGTTCCTCCAGGTCTTCCTACCGATATGACCAGGTTGCCTAAACAGGGTCAGACAACTTCTATACAACGAAAGGAGACTGCAACCATACAAAAGGCTAGACCATCTTGGTTTTCATACCTTTAAATATATAATTGTTAAAAAATGCACTATAACCATTTTTAATACGCCTTCTGCTAAATGAATATTTCCCTTAATTCTTCTCATATTACGTTTATTACTGAATTAATGAATCAGTAGCTAATCATTTTGGTATAAAATATTTAACTCGTTTGAGAGATTTCCTTATCGGAGAACTTAAGTAATTGCGCTAATTGTATTAAACTGCCTTCACAATCCTTTAACCGAGGAGTCATTTGGTATCTGAAATGTCCTTCATTATTTTTATGTTTGGAGGAGTGACTCGTCTTTGATTATAACTATTAGAGATGTGAGTTGTTAGCGGATAATAATGATGACTTCTATCAGTCCTGGAGAAAACAGAACTCCCGAAAGATGACTATCGAATCCTACTCAATGACGGAGAAGATTGTAGATACAAGGTTCTTTAGTGATCCAGATGATTGTTTCAGTAGCTCTAAAATATTAACCGGGCGACATGAATTTTGCTTTGGTGCGATCGCTTTCAAATTCAAATTGAGCCTTTGTTAATTTGTATACGATGACCCTCATTATACATTAAGATGAATAAAGCCCTTTACGCAAGAAACGATATTTTAAAAAAGATCCTATTATTACATTTAGAGAAGAACAACTTGATCTGAAATTAGTTCATACCATCTCGGAGATAATTACTGTGAAAGAGGCTGAGCCC